ATATGGTAGCTACTAATATCAACTAGTGTACTCCTCCTCATACAATCATTCATGTGGTCTATCAGTAGATACAGTTTATATTAAAGTACTGGACTAACCTTTACTGATATAAGTACATGTATGTACAGTCTCAGTCTCTTGTAATATCTCAGTCTCTTCTTTCTGTTCTACTGGTACTATACAATACAATTTATTAATAATTATTAATAATAAGTATACCATTATGATCTTTAATTAATGACATTAATCTTTCATTCTCCAGTATCAATGCTTTCCTTTGTTCTAATTATAAGAAGAGGTCATTAACTAGTAATTAATAATGTGTGTGGGTGTGTACATACTTTGAAATGTTTCCCTTTCATTTTTAATCTTTTGAATTTCCCTCTGTAATTCTATAGAAGTAAAACAATGTGTACATAGAAATCACAATGTACGTCACACACACACACAAACTTGATTGAGTGATAATGTACTCACTCTCAACTGATACTTGCTCTAATTCTTGTTGAAGATAGTCAATCTTTATTTTTAGCTCCTCTTTCTCAATTTCTCTCCTTTTAGTTCCTTCTCAAGTTCCTCCAGTTGTTTATGAGTAAGCTCATTGTCTATATGGTAATAATGATTATCAATCAATAATAATTAAATTAATATTATAACCTGATCTTAATTCTTCATATTGTTCTGTTTTGTGTTTCAAGTCTCCAGTAACTTCCTCCTGTTGTTCAGTAAGTGTTGCTATTCTCTCTTCATTTTGAATGAGGTCCCTTTTCTGTTGAAGTATCTCTTCTTCGTATTTCTTTATAATAAATTGTTTCTCTTTTTCATGGAATTCCTTTTCTTCCTCCAGTTGCTTTTGAATACTTTCAACTTTCTCCTGTAGCAACATAACTTGATCCTCATCCTTTTCTGTTGTTCCTATACTCAATAGTTACATTATGTATCATATTAATAATATTGATGTACCTGCTGGTACTTCAGTTGTTAGTGTGGTATCTTTACTTTGTACAGTAGGGCCCACATAAGTATTAGTGAATGATTCTTGTTTACTATCTTCCCACATACTATAATCACTTCTAACGACAGTTATTCTGACATCATCTGATAATACAGCTGATGACAGTCTCTGTACATCTTTAAGTACTGAATAGCCAGTATCTTTATCAACGATAATTGTAATATAGTCAAGTAGTGATGAAACTTTTAAAAGTTCTTTTTCCAAAAATTGACAAAGTTTCATTTTTAATTTCTCAATTGCTGCTTTATATTCCTCAATTACTAGCTTAGCCTCCTCTATATTGAACTCATTAACAAGATACTCCAACATACTAACGTCATCAAGTGAACTGTTCTCACGTACTAATTGTAGAATGTTATGGACATCTTTACGCAGAGCTAACTGAGGCCTTAATGTCATGTCATATCTACCCAGTACATGCTTGATAATATCAATGGATGGAGACTGAGGGTTCCTCATCAAGATTGATCTAACAATGAAGAATGTATCCGCCAACTTCAATTGCATCAAATAAAGCTCTGAAGTAACACTCTTAGGAAGATAAATCTTGAGCCCTTCAATAAAGTAATAAATGTAAAGTTAATTTATAAAATAATTCTTACCAATCTCATCATCACTCCCATAAGCCTCTCCTATACAACAATCATTAGTTACTGGTATATGTTATAATACATGTACTTACTGTAGTCTCTCATGATAGCTCTTCCTATATCAGCAGTGACTCTGTATTTACATAAAATATCAGCAAATGTCTCAAGTTTTTTATAATCAGCACAAACAGCTGCCTGTATTTCATCCAGTAGTGATTCTCCTTGTATATAACGTGGGATGATCATCTTTTGTATAAGTTCTGCTCCATACAAAGATATACCCAACTCAGGTAATACAGACAGTAGAAATCGGTTTGAGTAATAATGAGCAAGAATTCTACAAGCAGGATGCACTAAACAAACAATAAAGAAATAAAATGAATACTCGTTATTAATTTTATTAAACTTACTCTCCATATCTATTCCATCAGCTGCTTCATTCTCTCCTAATTTCCTCAATGCTGATATCAATGAACTGATAGTAGGACCACCTTTAGTCTCTACATCATCAGCTTTCAGTAACCATTTAGTAAGGCACTCACGTAGACACCTCCTAACATCTCCTTTAGTATCCTTTGTAATAACATCCAGTGTAGCAGGAGATAGTCCAAGAAACAGACCAAGATCATAACTAGTGGTCTGCAGGGCTCTCGTCTGGGCTAGATCATAACTGGTTCCATAGTAACCATGTCTTCTGAGTAATTGAAGTACTTCAGGTAGATCAGTAACTAAAACAAGCTTTTAATAAACAAAATAAACAAATAAATATACTTTTCAGTTGATTTGTAGGGTCTACTGATACAGAAGAAGAGAAAGGAGAAGCCATTATTGAAGGCTGACAATGCTCACGTGATCTACCACCTCACAATAATAAATCCGATGCCATCCATTGCAGACAGATTTTAGATTACAATTATTGTGAAATAACTTGAAGAAATTCAAAAGAAACATATAGAATAATAAAAAACACAATCTTCTTCTCATTGCTTGTTCAATTTTATACAACACTGTTCAGGTACTTCTCCATTAACTATACAAGATAGTCTAATTATATTATACTTTAATATAATAAACTTACAACACTGAGAGATTAGTTTAGCTATCCTCACAAAAGCAATGTTTCCCTTCTTCATTACAATATTTAGAAACACCTCAAGCTGATCAGGACACACATCAACTACTGACATTATACAGTTAATAAAAGTATCGGCTCTTTCTGCTAATGACTGGCCTGTCTTGGCATCAAATATCTTATCATATTCTGTTGAATGAATTATTGTGGCTGATTTACAAGCTACAGCTATGTGAGAGAAAATAGGCTCAGATCTTGAAAGAAGACTTTTAAGTTTGTCTTGTTGTTTCTTGAGAGCATTCAGTGCAATCAATCCAAGATTAGTATCATCAGTAACATACTGGAGCTGCTGATACTGGAAGACTGGGAACTATTAAGAAATACTGCACATTAATTGAATGAACATTATACCTGAGGCTGATGATAATACATCTCTCAGGGATCTGTTATTTTTGATTCTCACTGGACCCAGTAATCCTTTCAATGGTATAGCATACTTCAATACATGAATTATTCTTGGAGGATTGCAATAATTACATGAACTGACACACAACAAACTATTGTTACCATACAACACATGGTAATCTGGTATTAGGTGTTGTTTTAAAATGGCTGTAACTTGAAAAATTGAAGTCGGAGTCAGCTCAAACTTGCTACACAGCATAAGGACATCTAGTCTGGCCATCAAAATGTATAAACAATTGAATAAAAACTTGAGGTGATTTTGGACTCATTTTTCAGAAAACTCTGAAAAATATACTTGTCAGTTGATTTTTCATAAACATCAATTTTATGTACAATAATCATTCACGACATTGCAGTTTATACAAACAGCTATGTTATTTCATAAAAATCCAGTGCATTAAAATTAATATTAATACATCAATTACGGTATTTTAAAAAGTTAACTTTTATTATTAAAATTTTGTTTTAAAGTTCATACTGAAAGTCATTGAATATTGCATTAGTGTCAAAAAATTCCATTACTTCACAAAATTTCAGCACATTTAGAAAGAAAATGGCTACTATGTGTCA